CTGGGGGAGGAATATGGGGGGGATGGAGCTGTTGAAGGGGGGATGGAGGCATGGGGTGGGATACTGGGGGTGATGGAACCATTGGGGGGGGTATTGGGGTGGAGGGAGCTGTGGGATGGGATATTGGGGTGGATGGAGCCCGTGGGGTGGGATATTGGGGATGATGGAGCCATTGGGGGCACACTGGCAGTGACGGAGCCGCGTGGGGGGGATGGAGCTCTTGGGGGCACCCCGGGGGTGGCAGTGCCGTGGGGCACGCTGCTGCTGGGGCTGGGGCCGGGGTCCCACGCGGTGCCCCCGCCCCGCAGCAGCAGCAGGAGGCCCTGGCAGCCCGGCGGCAGCAGGAGCTGGAGCAGCAGCGGCAGCGGGAGCGGCAGGAGCTGGAGCAGCAGCGCCTGGAGCAGCTCCAGAGCCTGCGCCCCAAGGAGCGGGGCCGTGACAGTGAGCTGGGGGGGCTGCGGCAGGATTTGGGGGTGCTGTGGGGCTGTGCTGCCCCCCTGACCCCCCCTGTGCCCCCAGGCGCCATCGCCAGCACCGAGGTGAAGCTGAAGCTCCAGGAATTCCTGCTCAGCAAGACGAAGGAGCCGGGCCCCGGCCCCCCCAACCATTCCCTCCCCCAGCACCCCAAATGTTGGTGGGTGCCCCCGAGCCCTGCAGGACCCCCCCGAGGCACCGTGGGGGTGACACGGGTGTCCTAGCGGGGTCTCTGCCGCCTTGTCCCCCGCCCCCCAGGGCTCACCACACCTCGTTGGACCAGAGTTCCCCCCCCCAGACCGGCAGCCCGGGGACCCCCCCGTCCTACAAGCTCCCCCTCCTCGGCACCTACGACGGCCGGGACGATTTCCCGCTCCGCAAAACCGGTGGGTGCCCGTGGGGAGGGGCGCGCCGCGCCCGCGGCGGGCGGCGGTGGCACCCCGGGTGACACGTGCGTGTCCCCAGCCTCGGAGCCCAACCTGAAGGTGCGCTCGCGGCTGAAGCAGAAGGTGGCGGAGAGGAGGAGCAGCCCCCTGCTGCGGCGCCGCGACGGCTCCGTGCTCAGCGCCTTCCGCAAGCGCCACGTGGAGATCACCGGTGCGCGGGGACACCGGGGACACCGCGGTGGGGACACCGTGTTGGGGACACCGCGGGGACACGGGCCGGGCTCGCGGGTGGGGCTCGCTCACCGGGTGCTTCCCCAGAGCCACCGTGGGCTCTCGTGGCTGGGGTGACACATGTGGCACGTGGGGGGTGTAAGGGTGTGACACACTGTGTGACATGGGGCAGTGTCCCCGTGTCCGTGTGGCACAGAGCAGTGTCAGTGTGACACAGGGCAGTGTCCCCGTGCCTGTGTGACACAGGGCAGTGTCAGTGTGACACAGGGCAGTGCCCCGTGCCCGTGTGACACAGGGCAGTGTCAGTGTGCCACAGGGCAGTGCCCCGTGCCCGTGTGACACACCTGTGTCCTGCAGTGTCAGTGTGACACGGAGCATTGTCCTGTGCCTGTGTGACACACCTGTGGCACAGGGCAGTGTCCCCGTGCCCGTGTGACACAGGGCAGTGTCAGTGTGCCACAGGGCAGTGTCCCCGTGCCCGTGTGACACAGGGCAGTGTCAGTGTGACACAGGGCAGTGTCCCCATGCCCGTGTGACACAGGGCAGTGCTCCGTGCCCGTGTGACACAGAGCAGTGTCAGTGTGACACAGGGCAGTGTCAGTGTGACACAGGGCAGTGCTCCGTGCCCGTGTGACACAGAGCAGTGTCAGTGTGCCACAGGGCAGTGCCCCGTGCCCGTGTGACACGCCTGTGTCCTGCAGTGTCATCGGTGTGCAGCAGTGCCCCCGGGTCGGGGCCCAGCTCCCCCAACAGCTCCCACGGTGCCCACAACGGCCTGGCCGCCTCTGTCCCCAACATCCACAGCGAGGTACGCTGGGGACAGGGACAGGGACACGCGTGTGTGGGGGGGCTGGGACTGTGTCGATGGTGTCCTGTCCCCACACGTGTCGGTGTCATGTCCCTACGTGTTGGTGGTGTGTCCCCACACGTGCTGGTGGCTGTCCTGTCCTGTCCTGCCGTGTCCCCCGGGTGCTGATGCCACGTTTGCTGTTTGGCCACAGCAGCTCCTGCCCCAGCCCCGCGCCCTGGCCCTGGACGGGGCCCAGCTCAGCCTCTACACGTCCCCGTCGCTGCCCAACCTGTCCCTGGGGCTGCAGGCCACTGTCACCGTCACCAGCGCCCACCTCCCCGTGAGTGGGGGCACGGGGACCCTGGGCTGGGTGGCGCTGGGACTTGGCACCCCATGGTGGGGACATGGGACGCCAATAGGGGTGGCACGGGCACCTGGAACTCCACAGAGGGAGCATGAGGGACCCCCCCTGGGGACATGGGGACACCGTGGCGGGTGGCACTGGGACATGGAACCCCACAGGGGGTGTGTGGGCATACAGTGGGGGGTGGCATGGTGGCCTGGCACCCTCCAGCAGGAGCGTGGGGACCCCACAGCGGGTGGCACAGGGAGCTGGGACCCCCGGTGTCACCGCTGTCCCCACAGGTGTCCCCCAAGCTGTCCCCACAGGCGGAGGGCGAGCGGCCGGGGGTGCCCCCGGGGGTGTCCCCGCTGCGCCCCGGGGCCGCCCTCACCGGGAAGTTCCTGAGCACGTCCTCGATCCCGGGCTGCCTGCTGGGGGTGGCCCTGGACGGGGACGCCCCGGCCGGGTCCCCGTCCCTGCTGCAGCACGTGCTGCTGCTGGAGCAGGCGCGGCAGCAGAGCACGCTCATCGCAGGTGAGCCTCAGTGTCCCCCTGATCCCTCCTCCGTGTCCCCTCAGTGTCCCCCTGGTCCCTCCTCAGTGTCCCCATGATCCCTCCTCAGTGTCCCCCTGGTCCTCCCTTGGTGTCCCCCCAGTCCTCCCTCAATGCCCCCCCAATGCCCCCTTCAGTGTCCCCCGATACCCCTGCAGTGTCCCTGAAATGTCCCCCCAATCCCCCCTTGGTATCCCCCCAGTCCTTCCCCAGTTTGCCCTTGTTTTTCCCCAGTTTGCCCTCAGTTCCTCCCAGTTTGCCTTCACTTTCCCCCCAGTTTGCCCTCGATTTCCTCCCACTTTGCCTTCACTTTCCCTGCAGTTTTCCCTCGGTTCCCCCCCAGTTTGCCCTCGATTTCCCCCCAGTTTGCCTTCACGTTCCCTCCCAGTTTGCCCTCGGTTCCCCCCCCAGTTTGCCCTCGGCTCCCCCCCAGTTTGCCCTCGGTTCCCCCCCATTTGTCCTCAGTCCCCCCATTTACCCTCATTCCCCCATTCCCCCCCATTCACCCTTCCCTCCCCCGTTTCCCCCCTCGCTCTGTCCCGCGTTTCGCGGCTCCCCCGGCCCGGGGGGCTCTGACGGGGTGCCGCGGTGCCCGCAGTGCCCCTGCACGGGCAGTCCCCGCTGGTGGCCGCGGAGCGCGGGGGCCCGGCCCGGGGCAGCCAGCTGCCGCGCCACCACCGGCCCCTGAGCCGCACGCAGTCCTCGCCGCTGCCGCAGAGCCCCCACGGCCCCCTCCAGCAGCACTTCCTGGACAAGCAGCAGCTCCAGCTGGCCAAGGTGGGCCTGGGGAGGGGGAGCGGGGTGTGGGGCATCGCTGACCCCTCCCCAAAATACAGCAGTGCGAGCGGGGGAAACTGAGGCAGGGGAAGGGCTGGACAAAGGGGGGGGAGCTGGCCCGGCAGCCCCCCACCCACCCCGAGGAGACGGAGGAGGAGCTGACGGAGCAGCAATCGCCCCCCCCGGGGGAGAGGGGCCCCCCCCTCGTGTCCCCCGATGCTGGGGACCCCCCGGAGCAGCCGCAGGACCCCGAGGGCTGCCAGGAGCCGGGTGACAGCGGGGACGAGGCCGAGGCCCCTGGGGACCCCGACGTCACCGAGCTGGGAGTCACCTACAAGCAGGTGAGACTTTGGGGGGGCACCCAAATCCCCCCCAGCTCCCTGCATCCCCCCCAGACTCCAGCTCCAGCACCCCGTGCACCCCTCTGCACGAGCACCCCCTCCCCCGGCCGTGTCCTGCGTCCCCTCCCCCTGTTTTTGGGGACACTGCTGCAGCGATGACTCGGAAGGGTCTGTGACTCACGCCGCCCCCTCCCCAGGTGTACCCCGAGGCGCCGCTGCAGCTCTTCCCCGCGCCCCCCCTGGGGGTCCTGGCTCTGCCCCACCCCGCCCTCGCCCGCACCCAGTCGTCCCCGGCCAGCGTCAAGCCCCCCCAGCCCGAGGGGCCCCCCAAGCACCTCTTCACCACAGGTACGGCTCCGGGGGGTCTGGGGGTCCCTGTGCCCCGGGGTTCTGTCATATGGGGGGCTCCTGTCCCATGGGAGGTGCCAGGGATGGCTGTGTCCCCCCACACCGAGGGTCCCGTTCCGTGGTGGGGTTGTGGATGTTCCTCTCCTGTAGGATTCCCTTCTTCCCTGGAGTTCCCAATCTTGTGGGGTGCCCAGGGGTCCCCTGACTCTGTCCCCTGGGATTCCCAATACTGGAATGTCCTGGGGTCCATGGTGGTGTTGTGGATGTTCCTCTTCTGTAGGATTCCCTTGGAGTTCCCAATCTTGTGGGGTGCCCAGGGGTCCCCCGACTCTGTCCCCTGGGGTTCCCAATATTTGGGAATGTCCTGGGGTCCCTCAGTGCCATAGGATCCCTCTGTCCCCTGGGGTTCCCAATGTTTTGGAATGTCCCGGGGTTCCCCTTCCCCATAGGATCCCTCTGTCCCCTGGGGTTCCCAATATTTTGGAATGTCCTGGGGTCCCTCAGTGCCGTAGGATCCCTCCGTCCCCTGGGGTTCCCAATGTTTTGGACTGTCCCAGGGTTCACCTACCTCATAGGATCCCTCTGTCCCCTGGCGTTCCCAATGTTTTGGAATGTCCCGGGGTTCCCCTACCCCATAGGATCCCTCTGTGCTCTGGGGTTCCCCTACTCTATAGGACCCCTTTGTCCCCTGGCGTTCCCAATATTTTGGAATGTCCCAGGGTCCCCCTACTCCATCAGATCCCTCTGTCCCCTGGGGTTCCAGTACCTCGGGGTGCCTGGTGTCCCCCAGTCCCATGGATCCCCTTTGTCTCCCGGGGTTCCCCACACCTCGGGGTGCCCAGGGATCCCCGTACCCCCTGGCCCCCCCCGGGGGTGTCCCGGGGTGCCAGCCGTGCCAGCTGTGCCGTGCCAGGTGTGGTGTACGACACGTTCATGCTGAAGCACCAGTGCACGTGCGGGAACACCACCATCCACCCCGAGCACGCCGGCCGCATCCAGAGCATCTGGTCCCGGCTGCAGGAGACGGGGCTGCTGGGCAAGTGCGAGGTGAGGGGGGGCTCCCCGTGTCCTGGGGGGGGCCAGGGTGGCGCGGGGAGCCCGGGGGGGCTCAGCCTGTGCCCCTTCCCAGCGGATCCGGGGCAGGAAGGCGACGCTGGAGGAGATCCAGACGGTGCACTCGGAGCACCACGCGCTGCTCTACGGCACCAGCCCCCTGAACCGCCAGAAACTGGACAGCAAAAAGCTGCTGGGTGGGTGCTGGGGGGACCCCCGTGCCTGCGACCCCCCCTCTCTGGAGCTGGGGTCACCTTGCTGCCCTGTTCCTTGTGATCCCTCTGTTCCCTGAGGTTCCCAATCCCTTGGGGTGCCTGGGGTTCCCCCAATCCCATGGGCTCCTTGTCCCCTGGTGTTCCCAATTCCTTGGGGTGTCCTTTCCCCGTGGAATCCCCCTGTCCCCTGGTGTTCCCAATCCCTTGGGATGCCCTTTTCCCATGGGATCCCCCTGTCCCCAGCATTCCCAATCCCTTGGGGTGCCCTTTTCCCCATGGGATCCCCCTGTCCCACAGCCTGTCCCGTGGGCTCCTTGTCCCCTGACATTCCCAACCCCTTGGGGTGCTCAGAGGTCCCCTCATCCCACGGGATCCCCGTGTCCCCTTGTCCCCATCACCCCTTGACCCCGCAGGTCCCATCACTCCGAAGACGTACGCGGTGCTGCCGTGCGGGGGCATCGGGGTGAGTCTGGGGGCAGGGCTGGGGGTGTCCCCGGGCTGGCCGTGCCCCGCTGAGCCCCGCTGTCCCCGCAGGTGGACAGTGACACGGTGTGGAACGAGCTGCACTCGTCCAGCGCGGTGCGCACGGCCGTGGGCTGCCTGCTCGAGCTGGCCTTCAAGGTGGCCGCAGGGGAGGTCAAGGTGAGCCCGTGTCGCTGTCACTCTGCCTCCCTGCAGGTGGCCCTCCCTGTCCCGTGAGTGTGCCTCTGTCCCAGTTGTGCCCCAGTGCCACGCGTGTCTCTGTGTCACACACATCCCTCTGTGTCCCACCCGTGTCCCTCCCTGTCCCAGCTGTGCCCCAATGCCACGAGTGTTTGTGTCACACACACATCCCTCGGTATCTCACCCGTGTCCCTCTCTGTCCTGTGTGTGTCCCCCCTGTCCCAGCTGTGCCCCAATGCCACACGTGTCTGTGTCACACACATCCCTCTGTGTCCCACCCATGTCCTTCCCTGTCCCAGCTGTGCCCCAATGCCACACGTGTCTGTGTCACACACATCCCTCTGTGTCCCACCCATGTCCCTCCCTGTCCCGTGCGTGTCCCTCTGTCCCAGTTGTGCCCCAGTGCCACACGTGTCTGTGTCACACACACATCCCTCTGTGTCCCACCCGTGTCCCTCTCTGTCCCCCAGAATGGCTTCGCTGTCATCCGCCCCCCAGGCCACCACGCCGAGGAGTCCACGGCCATGTGAGTACAGGGACGGGGCTGGGACCCCTGCCCAGGGCCACCCCCTGCTCCCAGGGCCACCCCCTCCACTGATGTCCCTTGTCCCCAGGGGCTTTTGCTTCTTCAACTCCGTGGCCATCTCAGCCAAGCTGCTGCAGCAGCGGCTCAGCGTGGGCAGGATCCTCATCGTGGACTGGGTAAGGGGGGTCGGGGGGACCCCACAGGCTTTGGGGCCGGTGTGGGGGGGTCCCTGACAGCCGGGTGCCCCCCCCAGGACATCCACCACGGCAACGGGACCCAGCAGGCCTTCTACAGCGACCCCCACGTGCTCTACATCTCCCTGCACCGCTACGACGACGGCAACTTCTTCCCGGGCAGCGGGGCCCCCGAGGAGGTACCGGCGGGAATTTGGGGGGTGGGGGTCCCTCCGTGCCCCCCCCTGTGGCACGGGGGGGTCACCTGTGGCTGTGCCCAGGTGGGCAGCGGGCTGGGCGTGGGCTACAACATCAACATCGCCTGGACCGGCGGCGTGGACCCCCCGATCGGGGACGTGGAGTACCTGACAGCCTTCAGGTGGGGGGGCTGCGCCTCGGGGGGGGCTCCGGGGCAGGAGGGGGGCTCTGCCTCGGGGAGTTCCACTGTCCTGGGGGGGTTCCTGAGCCCCTGGGGGGGCTCTGTCCTATGGGAGGGGTCCCTGTGTCCTGGGGGAAGGGTCTCAGTGCAGTGGTGGGGGGGCTGCATCAGGGGGTCCTCTGGATGCTGGGAGGGTCCCTGCACACCTTTGGGTGGGTCCCTGCACACCTTTGGGGGGGTCCTTTACACGTTGGGGGGTCCCTGCACACTTTTTGGGGGTCCTTGAACACCTTGGGTGTGTCCTTCACACCTTGGGGGAGGGGGTCCCTGCACACTTTGAGGGTGTCCTTCACACCTTTGGGGGGAATCCTTGCACACCTTGGGTGTGTCCTGCACACTTTGGGGGGTCCCTGCACACCTTGGGTGGATCCTTGCACATTTTGGAGGGGTCCTTCACACCTTGGGGGTTGTGCCTGTCCTCTGGGGGGGTGTCCCTGCCCTCCTGGGAGCCCCCCCAGCCCTGGGGGGGTCCCGAGCAGCCGCTGCCCCCAGGACGGTGGTGATGCCCATCGCCAAGGAGTTCTCCCCGGACCTGGTGCTGGTCTCCGCCGGCTTCGACGCCGTCGAGGGCCACCTGTCCCCGCTCGGTGGCTACTCCGTCACCGCCAAGTGTGAGTGGGGTCCGGGGCCATCCCGGGGGGGACCCCGGCCCGGCCGCCCCTCACCCCGTGCCCGGTGCCCCCCCAGGTTTCGGGCACCTGACGAAGCAGCTGATGATGCTGGCGGGGGGCCGGGTGGTGCTGGCGCTGGAGGGGGGACACGACCTGACGGCCATCTGCGACGCCTCCGAGGCCTGTGTCACCGCCCTGCTCGGCCTCGAGGTACGGGGGGGACGCCCCGAGCCCCCCAGCCCTTCTCCAGGGGCGTGCTGGGGCGCGCGCCCCGTGCCGTGCCTCAGTTTCCCCTCGTTGGTTGGTGAGGGGCTCCGGTCGCGTCCCTGCTGTGGCTTTGGGGGGGCTGGTGGCACTCTGTGGGTGCTGGTGGCAGTGTGGGGGGCCTGGTGGCAGTCTGGGGGGGCTGGTGGCACTCTAGGGGGGCTGGTGGCACTCTGTGGGTGCTGATGGCACTCTGGGGGTGCTGGTGGCAGTCTGGGAGGCCTGGTGACAGTTTGTGTGGCCTGGTGACAGTTTGTGTGGCCTGGTGGCACTCTGGGGGGCTGGTGACAGTTTGGGGGGCTGGTGGCACTCTGGGGGGCTGGTGACAGTTTGTGTGGCCTGGTGGCAGTCTGAGGGGCTGGTGACAGTCTGGGGGGCTGGTGGCAGTCTGGGGGGGCTGACAGGCTGTCCCCCCCAGCTGGAGCCCCTGGACCCGGCCCTGCTGCAGCAGAAGCCCAACGTGAACGCGGTGGCCACGCTGGAGAAGGTCATCGAGATCCAGAGTGAGGACGGGGGCGCGGGAGGTCCCCGAGGGGTCCCCGGGGACACGGGGGGACCCGGGCGGGACGCGGGGGGACGCGGCCGCTCCGTGCCAGCCCCTGCTGTCCCCGCAGGCCGGCACTGGGGCTCGGTGCGGCGCTTCGCCGCCGCCGTGGGCCGCTCCCTGCTGGAGGCGCAGCGCGGGGACACCGAGGAGGCCGAGACGGTGACAGCCATGGCCCTGCTGTCCGTGGGCGCCGAGCGCGGCGCCGCCGAGCCACAGCCCAGGTGGGACACGGGGACACGGGGGGTGTGACACTGGGGGACACGGGGGTGTGACAGTGGGGGACACGGTGGGAGCTGAATGGAGCCAGGTGGGACACGGGGACACGGGGGGTGTGTGACACATGGCGGGTGTGTGACACCGGGGGACATGGGGGGACAAGGGTGACACAGTGTGGGGTGAACAGAGCCAGGTGTGACACCAGGGGACAGGGCTGGGGGGTGTGACACTGGGGGACACAGAGGGTGTGACATTGGGGGACACGGTGGGAGCTGAATGGAGCCGGGGGGGGCACAGGGGGTGTGACACTGGGGGACACAGAGGGTGTGACATTGGGGGACATGGTGGGGTGAATGGAGCCAGGTGTGACACCAGGGGCACAAGGGGAGGGTGTGACACACGGGGACACAGAGGGTGTGACACACGGGGACACGTAGGGGTGGTGAATGGAGCAGGGTGTGACACTGGGAGGGACACGTGGGGGTGACAGACACTTGTCCTGCCCTGGCCAGGCCAGCAGAGGAGCCGATGGAGGCCGAGCCCACGCTCTGACCCGCCCAGATCATCACCAAGGAACACCTGGAAAAGATGAAAAACACACAAAAAAAAATCACAGTAAAAGGAAAAAAAAAATCCAAAACACACATACACAAAAAAAAAACACTAAAAAAAAAAAAAACAAAAAAAAAAAAAAGGCAAAAAAAAAAAAAAGGCAGAAATCGAAAGGAAAACAAGAAAAAAAAAAAGAGGAAAATATTTTCTTTTTCTATTAAAAAGAGGAGAAAAACCACAAAAAAATCCCCCCGCCCATCCTGTGCCCCCGGCTCCCCGCGGTGTTTGCGGTCGTGTCTCTTGTGCAGCAGCAGTTCCACCAGCACCCCCGTGTCCCCCCTTGTCCCCCCTTGTCCCCCTGTGTCCCCCGTGTCTGTCGGGTCCCCCCGGCGCTGCCCGGACCCCCCTGGGGCTCCTCGTGATTTTTTTGGGGGGGTTTTTTCCTTATTTTCCCCCTATTTTTGTGTCTCCCCTGCCTCGTTCCCTCCCTGGCTCCGGCTCCGTCCCCCCCCGGGGGAGGCGATGGGAAATATTCGTGCCTTTGAGTATTTTTTTTTTTTAATGCCTTAATTTCCCTTCATTTTGGGTTTTTCTTAATTTTCTTGGGTTTTTTTTTTCCCTTCGGCCTCCCCGTTTTGGACGGGGACGTGAGACAAAGGGACGAGCCCTGTCCCCCACCCCCCTGTCACTTTGTCACCCCGGCGCCTTTGTTGGGATCAAATTTATCCTTCTAGGAAAGGGGAAAAAAAAGAGAGAAAAGAAAAAAAAAATAGAGGAAAAACCACTTTATTTTCCTGTTTTGTCACCAGCCGGAGGGGCCTCAGAGCGATTTTAGCTTTAAAAGAGAGAAAACCACCCAACCCCCCCCAAAAAAGGGATATAATTTTATTACAGATGGATTATTTAATAGTATTTTTTTAATGGGGGGGGAGGAGGGGGGGGGAACCGGGAAAGCACCTCGCGGGTTAAATTATTCCGGGGGTGGGGGGGGGGAATTTGGGGTGGTCCCAAATTAGGACAGAGGGCTGAGGTTGTCCTTGTCACCTCTCCTGGGGGGGAGGACCGTGCGTGTCCCCAACGCTGGGGACACCCCGGGAGTGGTGGGGGATCCCCATCCCAGGAGAGGCCTCTGGATTTGGGGAGGGGAGAGGAGGGTCTCCGCCCCCCCGGCAGCGTGCCCGGCTTGCTTTGGGCTGGTGTCCCCCCGCCCCGTGTGTCCCCGTGTCCCCCGGTCCCGTCCGTCCCCGCTCACGCTCGCTCTGGGTCTCGGTTCGGTATTTTGTAAAGATGTCACCGATGTTCGTCCTTGTATAAATAAACTGTTTCTGGCAATACCCGCCGGGCCCGCTGCCTTTGGGGGTGTCCCCGTGTCCCTTTTCCTGTCCCCGTGTCCCTTTTCCTGCCCTTTCTCCCCGCCGTGCCTCAGTTTCCCCAGGCACCGCAAGAGGCGCAGGGAGGGAGCGGGGCGGGTCCCCTTTGTCGCCCCCGCGCTCGGGGGGCTCTGTCCCCGCTGTCCCCCCCAGCACTCGGGGCCCGGCTCGGTTCTGGAGCTTTATTTGGTTCCAAACGGGGCAGCCCCGCACGCACCGGGGTGAGGGGGGGTCCCGGCGGGCCGGGGGGGGCCCACCCCTGCTGCGGGACAGCTGGGGACAGCGGTGGCAGCTCAGTGTCCCCGGGCTGTGTCCCCAGCCGGGCACGGGGCACCCCCGGCTCTGCCCCGGGGGACAGGGACCCCCTACCCGGGGTGAGGGGGGGTCCCTGGGGCAGCTGAGGGTGGGCGAGAACCGGGACAGCTGCTGGGTCTGGGGGGGAGAGGGACAGAGCAGGGACCCCCCCTCAGTTTGGGGGTCCCTGGGGGGAAGGAGTGTGAGTGAACTGGGAACAGAGCAGGGACCCCCACTCAATTTGAGGGTCCTGGGGGGAAGGAGTGTGAGTGAACTGGGAACAGAGCAGGGACCCCCCCCCTCAATTTGGGGGTCCTGGGGAGAAGGAGTGAGAGTGAACTGGGAACACAGCAGGACCCCCACTCAATTTGGGGGTCCTGGGCAAAGGGAGGATGAGGATGAACCAGGACAGGAGTGGAGACCCCTTACTCAGTTTGGGGGTCCCTGTGGCAAAAGGAGTGTGAGAATGAACTGGCAACAGAGCAGACACCCCCTACTCAATTTGGGGGTCTCTGGACAGGTGGAGATGAACCAGCAGCAGATCCCCACCATTCTGGGCGGGGGTCTAGGGGTTTGCCCGCAGCCGCCGGACGCTGAGGATGAGCTGGGGCAGCAGGGAGCCCACCAGCACGGGCCCCAGCGCGTAGCGGGCCCCCACGTTCAGGTACCACAGGGCGGTGCCGTCGCTCTTGGGCAGCTTGTGCAGCACGTCCAGGGCCAGCAGCCCCAGCGTGGCGCTGCCCAGCGGCGGCTCCAGCCCCTGCAGCTCCCGGCGGCTCGGCGGGTGCCGGGCGGCCAGCGCCAGCCCCAGGGCGCTGCCGCTCACCCGGCACAGCGAGGCCCAGGGCCGCGTCTCCGGCCGCAGCCAGGCGGGCTCCGAGCACCGGGCGCTGGCCCGGCGGAGGGACCTGCGGGGGGACAGCGCGGGGGTCGGGGTGTGCCCCCCCAGAAACGGCGCTGGGGGTAGACCCCTCCCCAGACGGATCCCCGGGGCTGGCCCGGTGGTCAGTCCCAAAAACATTCCGGCAGGTTCCTGGGGGTGCCTCCCTCCAGCCTGGGGGGCTGCTCCCCGGGGATACCCCTCCCCAGTGGGCACACCCCTGGAGTACCCCCTGACACCCCCGAGGCTGGTCCTTGTGACACCCCTGTCCTCCTTGTGACACCTCTGTCCCCGTGGGACCCCTGCCCCCCCTTTCCCCCTGTCCCTCTGTCCCCCTCTCCCGCTGCCCCCTCTGTCCCCCTGTCCCTCTGTCCGCCCCCCTCTCCCCCTGTCCCTCTGTCCCCCTGCCCCCCGTCCCTCTGTCCCCCTGTCCCTCTATCCCCCTGTCCCCCTGTCCCCGGGCTCTCACCAGTCCAGGTCCAGCCCCGCGGCCGTGCCCAGCCCGTGCAGCGCCAGCGCGCTCAGGAGCAGCCCCAGCGCCGTCAGCAGGAAGAAGCGGACCCTGAGGAAGTTGGGGGGCCGGCGCTGCAGCCCCCAGCCCAGGGCCATCCCTGGCGGCGGGGACAGGTGAGGCTGGCACTGGGAGGGGGCTGCAGGGAAGGGGAAGGGGCTGCGGTGCCCCCCTCACCTGCCAGGGAGCCGGAGATCACCTGATGGGGGAAGTGGGCCAGGACGAAGACCCGGGAGAGCCCCATGGCCACCAGCAGGAGGACGTAGAGCAGGAACGGGATCAGCCTCAGCAGCCGGCTGGAAGGGAACGGAGGAAAGCACAGCTGAGGGGGCAACAAAAAACCCTGGGGGGCATTCAGGGCGTCTCTCCCGAGCTGCCAGAGGAGAGATGTGTCCCCCTGGAGCCGCCCTGCTGGGAGGGAAGGGATGCTAATCACCCTCCATGGGTGCTGCACACTGAGTGGGGGGCTCGCTCCCACCCCCTGTTCCCACGGGAGCTCTGGGAGCTCCCAAGTCTCCATCCCGGGACTTCTCCTGCCTGCTCCCGGCGGGTTCTGCCCCACAGGAGCGGCCCCACCTCCCACCCGCCGTTCCCGCAGAGGCTCAGGGAGCTCCCCGCCCGTCCCAGACTCACCTGCGGCTGTACCTGGACGCTGCCTTGCTCAGGGCGGTGACGATCGGCCACAGGGCCGCCCCCAGGATCATGCAGTGGCCCGAGGGGCTCCCTGGGGGATGAAGCACAGGGATGTCCGTGTCCCCACTGGCCATGTCCAGCCCAACCCCTCCCCGCTGCTCGGGAATGGTTTTCCCACCTCCGGCCCAGCGTTCCCACACGGGTGGGGCTCCTGGGGCTCCTCCCCGGGGCTGCCCGAGCCGGGGCTCACCTGGTCCGGTCTCGCAGGTGATGGGGAACTGGCGCAGCGGGAGCTGCTCCCGCTCCGACAGCCCCGACTCGTGCATCCACCAGTACGGGCGCTCCCCGAACAGGAACCTGCGGCAGCGACAGCGACAGCGGGGGGCGTGGGAGAGAGCCCGAGAGCGGCACGGGATCCTGCAGCCCATCCCGAGACCAGGACAGGATCCTGCAGCCCATCCTGAGAGCCAGGGGGGCACGATCCTGCAGCCCATCCCAGAATAATCCCATCTCCAGGTATGAAGCCACAGAGGGTCAGGTGTATGATCCAGCAGAGCAGGATCCCTGCAGCCCATCCTGAGAGCCCGAGAGCGGCACAGGATCCTGCAGCCCATCCTGAGAGCCCGAGAGCGGCACAGGATCCTGCAGCCCATCCCTGGGATCCAGCGGAGCAGGATCCCTGCAGCCCATCCTGAGAGCCAGGGGGGCACGATCCTGCAGCCCATCCCAGAATAATCCCATCTCCAGGTATGAAGCCACAGAGGGTCAGGATCCCTGCAGCCCATCCCGGGATTTCCAGGAGAGCAGGATCCCTGCAGCCCATCCCAGGACTCCCAAGGATGAAGCCACAGAGGATCAGGATCCCTGCAGCCCATCCCGGGATTTCCAGGAAAGCAGGGTCCCTGCAGCCCATCCCAGGATTTCCAAGGATGAAGCCACAGAGGATCAGGATCCCCTGCCAGCCCTGATGCCTCCCGGGCTTTTCTGTGCCAGGAATTCCTGGCAGAAGCTGGGGCAGCTCGGGTGACCCTGCAGAACGCCAGGGGCGGGCAGTGCCAGCCCAGCATGGCACGGGCAGGGAGCAGGAGTGTCCCAGAGCCCCCCTCCTCGTGCCCCCCTCACCACTTGAGCACCACGTTGAGCCACTCGGCCGCCAGGGCGATCCAGAGGACCATGAGGGACACGTGCTCGTCCAGGCCGCGGGCCAGCGGGAAGCACACGGTGTAGATGGAGTTGGGATCCAGCTGGGAGCTCAGGAAGAGCCAGAACTGCTCCAGCCAGGGCGGGCCGGCCTGCAGGGCCACGGCGGCGCGGATCCCGGCCTCGTGCAGGGCATCCATGGCACTGGGCTGGGGCACAGCAGGGAGGTCAGCCCAGAACAGACCCCTGGGGTCCCCTGGGGACAGCAGGGGAGGTGGCTGGATCCTGTGAAATCCCCTGGGGACAGCAGGGGAGGTGGCTGGATCCTGTGAAATCCCCTGGGGACAGCAGGGGAGGTGGCTGGATCCCCTGGGGACAGGCTGGGAGGTGGCTGGATCCTGTGAAATCCCCTGGGGACAGCAGGGGAGGTGGCTGGATCCCTTGGAATCCCTTGGGGACAGCAGGGGAGGTGGCTGGATCCTGTGAAATCCCCTGGGGACACGCTGGGAGGTGGCTGGATCCTCTGGGCACCGGTTCAGGCAGCCATTCACCAGTCGGAGTTTGCCCACAGATGGCTGCCAGGTTTGTGCCCGAGGGCAGAGCACACCTGTGGCTGCGGGGATGAGGATCCCGGGATCCCGGCGGTTCTGTGGGATGTGCTGGAGCACCTGGGATGCTCCAAAGAGCCTCCACCTCCCCGGGGCTGCCCCTTGGAAACCCCCTGGGTCTCCTGTGGCCCTTCTGCACGAGGCCTGGGCTCTCCCCGAGCCACCCTCGCCGTTCCTTGGCGTTTCCCGGGGGTCTCCCCAAGGCGGCTCCTGGGCCTCCCTGGGGTCCCTCTGGGCCTCCCTGTGCTCTCAGGCCCCAGGCCTCCCTGGGGCCTCCCTACACCAGACCCGCGGCCTGCCCATGGCCACCGGCAGCCTCTGAGGCTCCCGGTGGCGCTGCCCACCCCCCGGTACCGGCGGGAGGTACCTGAGGGGGGGGCTCCATCCCGGGGACCCCTCAAAACTCCCTCCCGCCGCTCTCTCAGCGCCCTCTTCCGCCTACACTTCCCATCACTGCCCGCGGGGCGGCGCGCTACGGCGGGGCGGCAGGGACAAACCGCGGCCGGGCTGGGCTCGGCCAATCAGGGCGCGGGGCGGAGCAGATCGGCGGGGCGGAGCACCAATCCCCGCCCTCGCTGCCGCGCGGCCCCGCCCCCTCGCCGCGCCTGGCCGAGGCGAGCGGAGCCGCGGGCGCTGCGGGCGGACAAGATGGCGGCGCCGGGCGAGTACTTCAGCGTGGGCAGCCAGGTGTCCTGCCGCACCTGCCAGGAGCAGCGCCTCCAGGGCGAGGTCGTCGCCTTCGACTACCCCAGCAAGATGCTGGCGCTCAGTATCCACCCGCCCGCGCCTCGCCGCGCTGGTCCCGGCGCCGGCGCGGCCCGCTCGGGCCTCTGCGGCCCGCCCGATGAGGGGGGGGGAGGCGTGAGGGAGGGAGGGGAAAGGGGGGAAGGGGCCGTGGGGTGTTCCTGCCCCCACAGTGTGAATATTCACGGGTATGGTTTTGTTTGGAATCTGCAAGGAACGGGAGAAGCCGAGGGCTGTTGGAAAGCAATGGAAGGTCCCAGGAGAGGGGAGGGGGAAGGTGAATGCTCAGCTCAGGGCTGGAGTTCTGGGGCAGCCCAGGGGTGGGCTCTGCAGGGAATGAGGGGCTGGGAGAGGGTTTTGTGGCTGGAGCTGTGGGAAGCACAACAGGAAAAGGCTCCCTGGCTGCCTGGGGTGTGGTTGGAGCTGCCAGGTCCCACTGGAGGCAGCAGCAAAGTGCCAGAGGGTCCAACAGGTTGCTCAGTGCTGCTTGTGAGCCCCACGGGGGGCGCGGGGCCCTTCCCAAAGTCCAGCTGTTCCTGCCACAGCTGGCGGGCTCCAGCTCATCCCCCAAAGGGGGCACTGGAATTCCCTGGATTTCTGCTCACCACTGAGCGGTGTTTTTTAGGGAGGGCTCCAGCTGGTGCTCAGGGGCTGGGGGAGGAATGGGGGCTTCCATGAGGATCTCTTCCAGGGGGAGATGGTGTTGGCATGGAAGAGGCTCTCCATGCTGTGCTCCCTGCTCCATCCATGCATCCATCCATGGATCCATCCATGGATCCATCCATCATCCATCCATCATCCATCCATCCATCATCCATCCATCCATCCATCATCCATCCATCCATCATCCATCCATCATCCATCATCCATCCATCCATCCATCCATCCATCCATCCATCATCCATCCATCCATCATCCATCCATCCATCCATCATCCATCCATCCATCCATCCATCCATCCATCCATCATCCATCCATCCATCATCCATCCATCCATCATCCATCCTCATGGGAGCAGAGGAATTGTGCAGGAATCCCTGTCAGCTCTGGAAGGGTTGGGATTTTTTTGGCGATGCTGTCTCATTCCCAACAGCCAACCTTGTGTGTCCCTCTCCTGGGAATTCCCTTCCTTCCTGAGCAGGGAATGCTCCCTGGCATGCTGCTGCCTGCGGGAGGAAAGCAGTTCTGGTGGAAAAAGTGCAAATTTGGTGGTGCTGGTTCAGGCCAGTGGTGGTGGTGATCTGGTGCTGGTGCACCAGGACTGGAAAACTCAGTCTGGGGTTGGGATAGACCAGGATCTGCACCAAAGAGTGCACAGGGAGATGAGTGAGATGGGATCACTGATCCCAACTGGGAACAAGGGAGCAGAGGCGCTTCCCACAAACCCAACCTTCTCCTGGTTTGCTCCTGGGCCGTGTCCCACCTACGAAAACCTCTCCCTGGATTTGTTTTCCTTAACCCCCTCCTCCAGAATGCCCCTCTTCCAGTGGCAAGCCCAACCACGCAGACATCCTGCTCGTAAACTTACAGTACGTGTCAGAAGTGGAAATAATCAATGACCGCACGGAAACGCCTCCCCCTTTAGCCTCCCTCAACGTCAGCAAGGTGAGAGAGCCCCTCAGCAGGCACCCCCTAAAACCCTTCAGGGATCCCCCCAAATCCTTCAGGGATCCAGCAGGATTCAGCACTGGAGCTGCTCGCAGTGCAGCTCCCCGGAGTCCCATCCTGGATCTGGGCTTTGGTGATTTGGGTCTGGGTTTTGGCAGTCTGGGCTCTGGATTTTGGCACTTTGGGCTCTGGATTTTGTTGGGTTTAGGGTCTGGGCTTTTGGCATTTAGGACCTGGTTTTTGGGCCTGGATTTTATGTCTAGATTTTTGGTGTTCGGGGACCTGGATTTTGGTATTTTTGGGGTCTAAGGTGATCTTGTTTTGGGGCTTGCATTTTGAGGGGTTTGGAGCCTGGGTTTTGCTAGTTTGGGTCTAGGAGGTGGTGTTTGGGGTCTGGATGATGCTATTTTGGATCTAGATTTTGGCATTTTGGAGTGCACAGGAGGGGTAAAGGTAAACTTATAAAAGGGAACTCATGGAATTCTGGGGAATTGCTTTACATCCATCCTGGAATGGGATCACTGCCAAATCCCAGTGAGGTGAAAAACAGGGGAGGTGACCCCGAGCCCTCGGTGCTGGGATGAATCCAGCTGTGGGGTGCTCAGTTGTGACCTCCTTGCCCCACAGGGACACCTCTCCCGGGGCTTCATGCCACACAGGTGACACCAGCTGGGTGTCCATCCCCTCCTGGGTCCCTTCCCGACGGATCACCACGTCCGAGGGCTCGGGTGACACAGCTGCCACCACGATGTGACAGTTGGCTGTCACTGCAGCGAGTGGCATGGCTGGGAGCACAGCCCGAGGGAACCCCTCAGGAATTCCAGTGCTTACTTCAGGGAACCCTTCAGGATTTCAATGCTCATTTTGGGGAACCCCTCAGCAATTTCAGTGCTCACTCTGGGGAACCCCTCAGGAATTCAGTGCTTACTTCAGGGAACCCCTGAGGAATTCAGTGCTCACTCTGGGGAACCCCTCAGGAATTCAGTGCTGACTTTGGGGAGCCCCTCAGCAATTCCAGTGCTGACTTTGGGGAACCCCTCAGCAATTCCAGTGCTGACTTTGGGGAACCCCTCAGGAATTCCAGTGCTGACTTTGGGGAGCCCCTCAGGAATTCCAGTGCTCATTTTGGGGAACCCCTCAGCAATTCCAGTGCTCACTTTGGTCTTTTCCAGCACCCCAGAGCTGTGGGTTGGGTGTGTGGGGCAGTGCCAGGTGCAGCGGGGTTGGAAGGGGCTGTTCCAGGGCAGGAGGGCTGTTCTGTGGGCTCTGCCCCACCTCCCCGTGGGGGCTCAGCACTGGGATGGTGGCGCTGGTACTGGTTGGACTGGGAGAAGGAGCTGTGTGCACACAGTGCTGCCAGCACTCCAGGGAACCCAGAGAGTTGGGGACTTTTGGGGACACCCCTGTCCCACGGGCTGACACTCCCCTGAGGACCTTGGCACAGCCATCCGGTGCCAATCCAGGAGATTTTGGAGGAATCCCCTTGATCTCCCCAGCCTGCTGGCACCCGAGTGGGATGAGGGGCCACCCTGGCCCTGGTGGCCCTGGCATGAACCTTGGTGGCCCCCACGGTCCCTCCTTGCCTGGTGCTATGAATTCCCACCCACTGACGAGGTGTGTGCAGGGAGTGCTGGCACCCAGGGGCTGCAGGGCTGAGCCATTTCCTCTTGGGAAATGGGAACATTTCCTCTTGGGATGGGCAGGGAGGGCTCCTCTGCTGCAGGGGGTGATGAGCTCAGGGATGGATCCCATGGGAGTGCTGGGGTGCTGCTGCTGGCACCTCTCCTGGGGCTCCAGTCACCTCCCTGTGGCCTCTTGTCAGGGCTGTCCCCAAGTCTGGATGCAGCAGCTGCTGGAGGAGCATCCCAAGGCCTGGGACAGAGGGGATCCCCCCTCAGGCTGGGGAAGGGGGGTCTGGTCTGGCTGGGAAGGGGATCTGCTCAGAGGGGATTCCCAGGGCTCTGTCCCACAGCTCCAGCCCCTCCCAGTGTGCTGGGGGGATCCCACTTCTCCAGCCTTGGAGGGGTGAGGGGCTGTGCCCCCCCAGGAAGGCTGGGAAGGGTGTGGGGTGCAGGGAAGTTCCTGTGGAACCTTGTGCCTGCTTTGGAAGGCTGGCTGGTGCTCTTGGAGAGAGCCATTCCCACATGGGTGAGGGTCAGGGGGGCTCCTGTCCCTGCTGAGGCATTCAGGGAGCACATGGAGACATCCCAGTGCTCCTGCAGTGCCTGCTCCCACCAAGAGGGCTTGGCATGGCTGGGACAGGGACTCCTGTCCCTGAGGGGCACTGAAGTGTCCCCAGTCAGAGGGAGCTCAGGCTTTCCATCCTCAGAGGGGCTTTGGAAGGGGTGAGACCCCCTCAGCCAGCAGCAGGAAGCCAGCCCAGCTCTGGGTGTGCTCCCAGGAGGCTCCAGGAGGAGGAAGAGGAGGGATGATGCTAATGTGGCTCCTCCACTGCAGCAGCTCCAGCCAGGAAAAGACAGCTGGTCCAAGGCTGCTGCCTCCAGGCTCTGCTTCCTTCTCCTCCCACATCCATGGGATGCAACATGGGGGAGGCCAGGGTCGGGGTTTTCCATCTCTATTCCAGCACCCTGTGTGTAATCACACCTCCCTACACACGGATTTGACTCCCAGATAACCAATTCTGGTTGTTTTTTGGGAACAAACCAACTGCTGCAGGCTAAAGTTGCTCCTACTCCTGCGTGGAGCATTTACTCCCAGGGTGTTGGGTGTTCCAGGCTGCTCTTCCCCATCTCCATCCCAAGTAAACTGAGCAGTGAGGGGGTTTTGCACCTAAAATGCCAGAATTGATTCGGAAAGGGCCGAGGGGAAGGGACAGGGGGATGTGAGAAGGGGGCACCACCATCCCCCAAATCCCTGGCAGTGGTGAGGGTTCCTCCAGAGGGGAATTCAGGCTGGAATCACAAGGGGCAGAGCCGTGTCTGGGGGGTCCCTGTGTCCCCTCACTGCTGCCAGCCCAATCCCCCGTCCCTGTGTGTCCCCAGCTTGCCAACAAAGCACGGACGGAGAAGGAGGAGAAGATGAGCCAGGCGTATGCAATTAGTGCTGGTGTCTCTCTGGAGGGGCAGCAGCTCTTCCAGACCATCCATAAGACGTGAGTGCCCACCTCGGGGTCCCCAGTGCCCACCTCGGGGTCCCCAGTGCCCACCTCGGGGTCCCCACGCTCCTTTTTGGGGCCCCTCACAGCATTTTTGGGGCATTGCCATCTCTGGGTTTGCCCTGGAACGCTCTGCTGTGTCCTGGGTGGGCTCCTTGGTGGGGAGGGGGGCTCCCTGCCTGCTCCCTGCCCTGCCTGGCACATCCCACCCCCTCTCCCACCCCTCTCCACCCAGACCCAGGCTCTTTGCCCCCTCGGTGGGACCCAGGCCCGCCCTGGGGGGGCAGCAGTGGCGTTCCCTGATGCCGTTGTCCCTCCCCTCAGCATTAAAGACTGTAAATGGCAGGAGAAGAACATAGTTGTGATGGAAGAAGTCGTCATTGCCCCTCCCTACCAGGTGGAAAACTGCAAAGGCAAAGAGGGGAGCGCCCTGAGCCACGTACGCAAAATAGTGAGTGTGGGCTGGGGACAGGGCAGGGTGGCACGTCCTGGGAGGGTGGCACGTGCTGGGCACAGCCAGGAGCCCCTCCTTGGCTGGGCTCCAGCCCCTCCTGGCATCCCCTTCCCTCTCCAGACCCCCCCTGCCACCCCTTCTTGAGTCGTGTTCAGAAGGATGAGCAGGGCTGGGGGCACTGGAAGGACTGGGCGGGTGTCACCTCCCTGGGGACACCCGAGACCCCTCCTGGCTTGGCCCCCAGCCCCTCCCGGGGCTCCTCAGCCCCTCCTGGGGTTCCTCAGACCCTCCTGGGGTTGTCCACACACTTCTTGCTTGGCCTCCATCCCCTCCTGGTGTCCCCCATCCCCTCCTGGTGTCCCCCATCCCCTCCTGGTGTCCCCCAGCCCCTCCTGGGCTCCTTCCCTGAGCCCCTGGGTGCCCCCTTTCCCTTCAGGTGGAGAAACATTTCCGGGACGTGGAAAGCCAGAAGGTCCTGCAGCGTTCACAAGCACAGCAGACACAGAAGGACACGTCCCTGTCATCCTGAGGCCACCTCGAGGCCACCACCCCGTCCCCGTGTCCCCTCCTGGAGGCGGCGCCGGGGGCACCTTCAACTTTTATTTCCTTTTTTTTTTTTTTTTCTTTTTTTTTTTTTTTTTTTTGGGGAATATCAACCAATTCCAAACTTTAGACTTCAAAACAAAACGAGAAAAGAGAATAATTTAAAGCTCCTCACGCATTACTTGACTAACAGACTTTGTTTTTCCGCCATGGTTTCTCCCTCCAGCCAGTCAGACTCTGTTAATTTTATTTTTTGGCCTTTTTTTTTTGCCTTTTCTCCCAATTCCTGCCTCCCTGCTCCCCAAGAATCCCTCCAGAAAATAAAGCTAACGAGCTGACTGTGGTGGCTGACCCGGGACCCTCGTGACCAACGTGGTCTCGTTTTAATTTTGTTTGCACAGGGCAAGGCTTGAATTAGTCTTATTTTTCTTATCTTTAAATATATATATGAATATATATTAAAATGTTCTTTAAATATTTGTCTGCTTTAGGGTCGTGGCAAAAAATCCCTCTGACACCCCCTCGGGAGCAGCCAGAACCTGGATTTGGGGTTTTCCCCCCAGTTCCTTTATGTTTTTAATTTTTTCCCCCTTTTTCATTTAATTTTAAATTTCTTCTTTAATTTTAATTTTTTTTTTTTGCCACGATCCTCCCCCTCCCCGTTTTATTTCCTCCTTTTTTTTTTTTTTTTCATAAAAAAAATCTCTGAGGTTACTTTTGGGGGGGTGGAGAAAAAGCAGATCAAACTCAAAACAATTCAAGCCCTGCCTTTAGGAAAATTAAAGATTAAAAAAAAAATTAAAAAAAGAAAAAAAAAAGGAAAATTTTTTAGTCTTGTTTAGCAAAAAACAATAAAAACCCGAAATTTTTTTAACCATCACCGCAGTCTGTGGGGGCTCAATGGGGGCGTGGCCTCGAGGGGCGTGGTTAAGATGAGTGGGCGTGGTTTGGGATGCGGTTCGTTACTCCGTTATGGGGCGTGGCTTCAGCGGGGGGCGTGGCCTGGCGCGGCATTTTCAATGAATGTTCCTTTGATTGACAGGGCGCGGTTCAGGCCGTGGCGGGGTTTCGGGGCGAAGGCGCGGCCCAGGGCGGGCTGGAGGCTCCATGGGCGCGGCTGCTCCGGAGCGGGGCCGCGGTTTTGGGGCAGGAGCCGCCATTTGAACGGAGGGGAGCGGCCTGAGGGCCATGAGGGCGCTCCAATTAAAGAGGCGTGGTTTATGCCAGGGGGGCGTGGCTTCCCCCTTGCCGGGCGCTGATTGGCCCGCGAGGCGTCTCTTCCTGCGCGGCATTTCCGGCGGGACGGCCCGGTGATGGCGGCGGGCCGCGGGTGGAGGCGGCGGGCGCTGCGGCTGCTGACGGCGGGCGGCGGCGTGCTGCTCACCCGCTTCCCCTTCTGGCACTGCTTCAGCGGGCTCCTGCTGTGCGCCGAGCGCGCCGACCTGCGCCGGTGCGCGCCCGGGGGCCGAGCCGGGCCGGGGCTGGGGAGGGCCCGCGGGTGGTTGTGAGGGCAGCGGCGGCTGTGGGGCTGGGCTGGCGGCGGTCTGTGAGAGCCTGCGGTGCTGGTGGGGCCGGAGCGTCGGGGGCAGTGTGGGGTCTGGGGGGTGTCAGGGGTGCAGAGGCTGCTGCGGGGCCCTGAGAGCCGGGGGAGGCCCGGGGCCCTGAGGGGCTGGGGTGACTCTGAGGGGCCGGGGGCGGCTCTGAGGGGGCTTGGGGGGCTCCTGGGTGAGTGTGGGGCTGCTGCGGGTGCCAGGGACCCTCGGTGGGGCTGGGGCAGGTGGGGTTTGAGGGGGGCACGGAGCCGCTGCCTGGGGCTGAGGGGAGACCCCGGCAGTGTCGGGGTCTGGAGGAGGCTCTGGGGTCTGGGAAGGGGACGGGGCAGCAGTGGGGGACTCCGGGGGCAGGGGGCTGTGGCTGCCCCGTGACCCCGGGGCAGGCTCTGGGGGTCCCGGGGTGGGCTCAGGGGTGCCAGGGTGGGCTCAGGGGTCCCAGGGTGGGCTCAGGGGTGCCAGAGCTGCCGTCCCCGCAGGAAGCCGGACATCCCGGTGCCATACCTGTACGTGGACATGGGCGTGGCCGTGCTCTGTGCCAGCTTCATGTCCTTCGGCGTCAAGCGGCGCTGGTTCGCCCTGGGGGCCGCCCTGCAGCTGGCAGTGGCCACCTACGCTGCCCACGTCGGGGGCCACGTGCACTACGGCGACTGGCTCAAGGTGAGACCCCCGGGTGGCACTGCCAGGCAGCCCGGGGTGGCACTGAGGCTGGCCCTGGGTGGCACTGAGGGTGGCACTGAGGGCAGCCCGGGGTGGCACTGAGGGCAGCCCGAGTGGCACTGAGGGGTAGCCCAAGTGGCAATAAGGGTGACACTGAGGACAGCTTGAGTGCCAATGAGAGTGGCACTGAGGGCAGCCCGGGGTGGCACTGAGGGTGGCCCTGGGTGGCACTGAGGGGTAGCCCAAGTGGCAATAAGGGTGACACTGAGGACAGCTTGAGTGCCAATGAGAGTGGCACTGAGGGCAGCCCGGGTGGCACTGGGGCTGGCACTGAGGGCAGCCCGGGTGGCATTGAGGCTGGCACTGGGGCTGGCATTGAGGCTGGCACTGAGGGCAGCCCGCGTGGCCGCAGGTGAGGATGTACTCGCGCACCATCGCCATCATCGGCGGGTTCCTGATCCTGGCCAGCGGCGCGGGGGAGCTGTACCGGCAGAAACCCCGCAGCCGCTCCCTGCAGTCCACGGGCCAGGTGTTCCTGGGCATCTACCTCATCTGCCAGGTACCGGGCTGGGGACACCTGGGGGACAGCTGGGTACACCTGGAGGACACCTGGGGGACACCTGGGGGACAGCCATGGCAGGGGACAGCCGTGGGCTGGGGACATGGTTCCCTGCAGGAGAAGCCTTGGGACAGTGCTCACAGTGCTCCAGGTTGTCCCTGGTGGGGGCCTCAGGGTGGTGTCACCAGTGCCACCAACCCCACACTGTCCCCAGGGGAGAAGCCTCAGGCAGCAGATGTCCTTGGGGGGTTGTCACCAGCGCCACCACACCACATCCCCCATAACCCCCGGGTAGAACTCTGGGTGTTCCCAGCGCCACCACACTCCAGATCCCCGTTGTCCCTGGCGCAGAGACCTCTCGTGTCACCGGTGCCACCACGCCACGAGTGTCCCCGTGTCCCTGCTGTCCCCGCAGGCCTACTCCCTGCAGCACAGCACCGAGGACCGCCTGGCCTACCTGGACCACCTGCTGGGGGGGGAGCTGGCGCTGCAGCTGCTGTTCCTGCTCTACGGGCTGCTGGCCCTGGCCTTCCTGTCGGGTTACTACGTGCGCACGGCGGCGCAGGTGCTGGCCGTGCTGCTGCCCCTGGCCATCCTGCTCATCGACGGCAACCTGGGCTACTGGCACGCGCTGCGCCGCGTCGAGTTCTGGAACCAGATGAAGCTCATCGGCCAGAACGTCGGCATCTTCGGGGCCGTGGTCATCCTGGCCACCGATGGATGAGGGCAGGGAGGGCGGGAGGGTTTTTGTAAGGAGCGCCGCTATTTATTTGTTGATTTTTTTTTTTTTTGGTTTTTTTTTTGGTGGTGTTTGTAAATATTTGATAATTTTGGCGGAGGATGCTTAGGGGGTGGCGGCCACTGTGTGGCCAGGGCCCCCTCTCCCTGCTGAGGGGTGTCACTGCTCCCCCCCACCCCCAAAAAATGTATTTTTACTGATGCACTGAGGAATCTTTCATGTCTCACCCCAGGGCTTTGGGTACCGGGGTGAGGGGCTGCAGCTTTTGGGGCAGAAACTGCTTTTGGGGTCCTGGAGCTGCAGTGCCAGGGGGCTTTGGGGGGTGACTGGGAGGGGAGAAGTGCTCTGGGGAAATGCTTCAGAGGAGTCACTGTGGGGGGAGATGCTTTTGGGGGGGCTTGGGGCGGAGGGGCTGCTGCAGGGGAGCTGTTCTGGGGGCCCTTCATGGAGCCACTTTGGGGGGCCAGATCTGGGGAGGGATGTGAGCCTGAGGGCTGGGGGGGAGCTGCTTGAGAGGGGCTGTGGGTGTTCTGGCACGAGTGGGGGTCTCTGTGGGACCCAGAGAGGGGCTGGCAACCCCCAGGCTCCCTCTGGGCTGTGGCCTCAGTGCCCTTGTCCTATCCCCGGGCTCTGTGTGTCCCCACCCACCCTGGGCTGGGCAGGGCTGTGTGTCCCCCCTGGCTGTGTGTGTCCCCCACCCGGGCTGGGCAGGTGTCCGTGTCCTCCCCGGGCTGTCCGTGTCCCCCCCCAGGCTAGGCAGGGCTCTGTGTCACCCCCCGGGCTGGGCAGGTGTCCGTGTCCCCCCGGGCTGTCCGTGTCCCCCCGCCCTGTCCGGAAAAGCAAACAGGGCTGATAAGGGGCTTCCTCCGGGGGGCCCTAATGGCGCCTCCGGCGGAACCGGGGCCATAAAACGCGGGCAGGCGGCAGAGCCCTGATTGCTCGGGGGGGGCACCGCGGCTCCTCACGCCCGGGACCCCCCCGCCGGCTCCAGCCCCGCGCCTTCACCCCCAGACCCTCTTCCTCCTCCCTGCCCTTGCGGGGGGGGGCGGGCAGGGGACACCCCCCGGGCCTGTCCCCGTGGGGGTCCCCGCTGTGCCGGGGGGTGCAGCCCGCGCGCCCCCCCCGCCGGCAGAGCCATCCTGTGACCTTTGGAAAATGTCTGTTTGCTGTCACTCGGATAAATGGGGCAGAAAGCTCCCGCCACCCCCGCCCCCCGGCCCCGGCCGTGTGACAGCGCGGTGACACTGTCCCTGCGCTGGGGTCCCCGCAGCCCCCCTCAGCTCCGCAGCGACCGCGAAAGGTTCGGGGCTGCGGGGGCTGCGGGGGCTGCTCCCCCCTCCCGGGCGCCGCTCGGCCGGGACCCCCCGCGCGTGTCCCCGCAGCCCCGCGGGTGTCACCGCGCGGCCACGCCGCGGGGGACACCCCCCCACTGCCACCAGCCGCGTCCCCGCCGCCGCTCGCCCGGGTGACAACCGGGGCACGAGTGGGAGCCGCGTCCCCTCCGGCCGGGCTGGCACCCTCCCGTGTCCCCTGCGGCCGAATCGTGTCGCCTCCAGCCGCGCTGGTGGCACCCCGCAGTGTCCCCACGGCCGTGTCCCCCCAACCCCCTGGCCGGGGGTGTGGCTGTGGCTGGGTGCGGCCAGCCCGGCGGTTTTGGGGACCCCCTTCTGCCACCTGTCCCCATCCCAGCAGCCCACGGTGGCTTTGGTGGCCCTGCCCGGCGGGCACGTCCCCGCCGCGTCCCTCCGTGCCTCAGTTTCCCCCGGAGCCGGTGATTGCTCCTTAATGGTAAATCCATACGGGATTAATGTCCCCGCGCGGGGGGCTGGAAAGGTCACCTCATCCGTCCTGGGGGTGGTGACAGCGCTCGATGGCGGTGGCGGGGCTGCGGTGACAGGGCTGTGGTGGCGGCTTCGTGCCTGGTCTGGGGAAACTGAGGCAGCCGTGGCTGTGGGTGTGCCTGTCCCCTCCATTGTCCCCCATAGGTGGCTTGTGCCAGGGCCGTGGGTCCTGTCCCATGTGCCATGGTGGTGTCCCTGGGTGTGGCCGGTGTCCCCGTGTCCCGCTGTCACATCCCGCGGCTGTCTAAGGGCAGGTTTGTGTGACACGGCTGCGTGTGACATCCGTGTCACTGTGCCGTGTACTAGTGCCACAGCTGCGTGTGACATCTGTGTCCATGTCCCGTGTCCTAGTGCCACAGCTGCGTGTGACATCCGTGTCCCGTGTCCTAGTGCCACGGCTGCGTGTGACATCCGTGTCACTGTGCCGTGGCTGCTGTCACATGTGCCGTGTCGTGTGCCCTGGCTGCCTGTCTCACCCGTCTGTGCGCCACTGTGCCCACGTCCCGTGCCCGCCTGGCACTGCCATGTCCGTGTCCCGTGGCCCCGCGCGTGTCCCCGTGTCCGTGTGTCCCCTCCGTGCCCCCCCCGCTCTGTCCTGCCCAGCCCCTCGGTGTCCCCGGCTGGGCACCGTGCAGGGGGACAGCGACAGGGTGCTGGCACGTGTCCCCTGCCCGTGGCGGGGGGGCCGCAGGGTCCTGCGTGCCCGTGGGTCTGTCACGCGTGAGGGAGGAGCCACAGCCCCCCTCGGGCTATAAAACCCCGCGCGGGTGCAGGAGCCGCCGTGTCCCCGGCACTGTCACCCCACTGCCAGGCCCTGGCTGTCACCTCTGCCTGCGCCATCGTGAGTGCAGCGACGGGCTGGGGGTCCCTGAGGGGTGCTGGGGACACCGGGGGGGACAATCACCTCCTGGGGGGGCCCTGGAGGGGAGGGATCCCTTTGGGGCACGTGGCTCTCTGGGGTCCCTCAGGGTGGGACAGCTCCCCTGGGGACATTCAGGGGGTCTCTGGGAGGGAGATGTCCCCCGTGGGATACGGGGCGGGGGGGTGAAAATGTCCCTTGAGTGGGGCTGGGGTCTCGGGGGGGGGGGATGAACAAACCCCTGGGGAGCCGGGGGTGCTCCGAGGGTGGGACATTCCCACAGGGAACGGGGTCCTGGGGTTTGCTGGGGGGCAGAGCCGGCTTGGGGGTGTCCCGGGGGTGATGGGGTGTCCCCTCCCCGCAGCCACAGCCGCCCCTCGCCCCTGTCCCCCGCAGATGGTGACATCCCCGCGGCCGTGGCGCGCGCTGGTGGCCGTGTCCCTCTGTGCCCTGCTGTGCCTGGCGGCCGCGTACCCCCCGAAACCCGAGAGCCCCGGCGACGACGCGTCCCCCGAGGAGATGGCCCGGTACTTCTCGGCCCTTCGCCACTACATCAACCTGGTGACGCGGCAGAGGTGAGCGCCAGGCGGGGGGGACACGCGCGTCCCTGTCCCCGCGGGGTCCCCTCGGCTCCTCCGTGGGGTCCCCGTCGCTCAGGCCCGCGTCCCGCAGGTACGGGAAACGCTCCAGCCCCGGCGCCGCGGTGGCGGAGCTGCTCCTGGGGGCCGCCGGGGACAGGTCACGGTGAGTGTCCCTGGCGCTGTCCCCCTCCCCGCGCCCACCGCCCCGCGGGCGGCAGCTGCGGGCTGCACACCCCGGCTGGGTTCCCGGCGCTGGTTGGGGTCCCGGGGGGCTTCGGGGGTCTCGTTTCCCCTCTCTCACACCGGCTCTTCCCGCAGGTACGATGACGACTCCTCGTGGTGACCGCCCCGCCCAGCTCCCCCCTGTCCCCCCAATCCTCCCCATCTCTCCGGGTCCCCCCAGGGGACCCAGGGCCAGCGCTGCAAGGCCGGGGACCCCCAGAACCCGGCCCGGGGGCGTCCCGCTGCCGGGGGGGCCCCGACCCCGTCCCCTCCCCTCCGCTGCGGGCGGGTCCCGCGTGGTCCCTGCACGGCCCCGCAGCGACAATAAAGAGCACGATCGTGGGCACGGGCTCCGCGCTGTGCGTGGGGGGCGCGGGGGGCGCGGGGAAGGGCAGCAGGGAGGGAGGGCTGGGGGGAGATGGAGCGGGGATGGAGGGATGGCAGGAACAGGGGACAGGAGGTGCCGTGGGCGGGGGGTGAGCTGGGGCGCACTGGGGTTGGATCCGGGGGTGCGCTGGGTGCGGGGTAACGGGGGGCACTGGTGGGAGCTCCACTGCTGATGAGTGTCGGGGGGCTGGCGGGCTGGGGACATTCGTGGGGGTGCTGCCCTCCACTGTCCCCCTGTCCCCTCCTGCCACCCTTGCACCCCTCCAGCCCCCCTGCCTGTGCCCCTCTCGCCCCTCTGTCCCCACACCTGTCCCTCTGTCCCTCCGTGGGGCCGGACACCCGTGCCCACGTCCTGTCCCCTGCGGAGCCCCCTCAGCGCGGGGTCAAACATTAACCAGAGCTGTGCGGGGCCAGCTGTCCCTGTCACCCCCCGTGATGGCCCCTGTCCCCCCTCCCCGCCGAGTGGGCACCTGGCCACAGGTGCTGCGTGGCACGGTGACATCAGCGGGGACACGGGGGGATAAAAGGGCCCGGCACGGCGGTGGCAGCAGCGGCACCGAGGACCCGGCGTGCCAGGCAGCGTCCCCTCCTGTCGCTGCGTCCCCGCGTCCCCGCCCGAGGAAGAAGGTGAGTGGAGACGGGGAGCTGCACGTGTGTGACAGGTGTGTGACAAACAGGTGTGAGTGTGACACGCGTGTGCAATGGTTTGTGCAAGGCTGAGGGTGTGCAGGGGTGGGACACGGGGCGTGCAGGGGTGGGAGTGTGCAGGTGTGTGCAGATGTGCACAGGTGTGTGTAGGTGTATGTGTGATGTGTGTTCAGCTGTGTGCAGATGTGCACAGCCGTGTTCAGGTGTGTGTAGGTGTGTGATATGTGCTCACCTGTGCACAGGTGTGTGCAGGGGTGTGTGTGCTGTGTGTTCAGCTGTGTACAGGTGTGCACAGCTGTGAGCAGGTGTGTTCAGGTGTGTGTGTGCAGGTGTGCACAGCTGTGCACAGCTGTGTTCAGGTGTGTGAGATGTGTGTGTGTGCTGTGTGTTCAGGTGTGTTCAGCTGTGTGCAGGTGTGCGTGTGTTGTGTTCAGCTGTGTTCAGGTGTGTGAGATGTGTGTGTGTGCTGTGTGTTCAGGTGTGTGAGGTGTGTGTGCTGTGTTCAGCTGTGTTCAGGTGTGGGAGGTGTGTGTGCTGTGTGTGTGTTCGTGTGCAGGTGTGTGTGTGTGCTGTGTTCAGCTGTGTGCAGGTGTGTTCAGGTGTGGGAGGTGTGTGTGCTGTGTGTTCAGCTGTGTTCAGCTGTGTTCAGGTGTGTTCAGGTGTGTGAGGTGTGTGTGCTGTGTTCAGCTGTGTTCAGGTGTGCCCAGCGATGTGTGCTGTGTGTTCAGCTGTGTTCAGCTGTGTTCAGGTGTGTTCAGGTGTGTGAGGTGTGTGTGCTGTGTTCAGCTGTGTTCAGGCGTGCCCAGCGGTGTGTGCTGTGTGTTCAGCTGTGTGCAGACACGCACAGCTATGCATGCACATGCCATGTGTGGCACTCCCTGTCCCGCTCCCCTGCCCTGTGACCCCGCTGTCGCTGTCGCAGCCATGGCCCCGCTGCGGCCGCCGCTGCTGCTGCTGGCGTGCGCCGTGCTGGCGCTGCTGCCGCTGCGGCCCCGCGCGGCCCCGGCGCAGCCCGCGTACCCCGGCGACGACGCGCCCGTCGAGGAGCTGCTGCGCTTCTACAACGACCTGCAGCAGTACCTGAACGTCGTCACGCGCCCGCGGTGAGCAGGGCCCGGGGGTCCCGTGCTCCCTGTCGCGATTCACCCCCTCTATCGTGATACACCCCCCCTGTCGTGACGTGCTCCCCATCGTGACACTCTCCCTACCGTGACGCGCTCCCCAGCCCGATGTGCTCCCTGTCGTGACATGCTCCCTGTCGTGACATGCTCCCCATCTCAGTGTGCTCCCTGTCGTGACATGCTCCCTGTCGTGACACGCTCCCCATCCCAATGCTCTCCCTGTCGTGACATGCTCCCCATCTCAATGTGCTCCCTGTCGTGACATGCTCCCTGTCGTGGCATACTCTCTGTCGTGACATGTTCCATTTAGGGACAAGCTCCCCATCAGGACCTGCTCCCTGTCATGACATGCTTCCCATCTCAGTGCACTCCCTGTTGTGACACGCTCCCCATCACACACTCCCCATCACCACCCGCTCCCTTCGTGCCCCTCTCCCTGTCGGGATTTATCGATGCAGGGCGACCCCCAGGCGGTGATGTGCTCTGACGCCGTGATTTCAGAAGGCTGAACAATTGCTTTATTAAGCTAGGTTATATTACACTAATATTATATTAAAACTATACTAAAAAATACTACAGAAAAACCCGGGGCTGTCCAAAACAGTCACGACACAGCTTTGACCCAATTGGCCAATCAATCCAAACAAAACAATCATCACCAAAACCAATTAACAAATCATAACAATGTGCTGTGGACAAACAATCCCCATAACACATTCCGCGCGTGCCAAACAACAGGAGCAGAAACAGGGATAAGAATTGTTTTCCTTGAGCTCCTCACTGCCTTCCCCAGGAGAAATCCTGGGAGAGAGAACGATGTCTCTGTTCAGAGAGTGTGAGTGCCACGGGGACGCGCTCCTGCAGCGTGTCCCTGTCACCCGTGTCCCTGTCACCCGGGGCCGTGTCCCATAACGTGTCCCCGTTGCAGGTACGGGAAGCGGGCAGGCGGGCGAGCGCTGGGCCAGGAGCCCCTGGGTGCCCCGGGCTGCTGAGCCCCAGGTGAGGGGCTGGGGGCGGGAGGAGCCCCCCGTGGCTCCCCCCGGCCTCAGTGTCCCCAGCAGGGACAGCCTGGGGGGACTGGGGGGCTCTGGGTGGGGGGAATTCAGGGGGTCCTGAGGGTGTCAGGGTGGGGGACACAGGACCAGGGGGATCGGGGGGGCTCTGTGGGGAAGGGGACACAGGGCTAGGGGACCCGGTGTGATCCCCCCCTTTTGTTTCAGGGACACCACTGGTGCTGAGTGGGTGAAGAAGCCCAGAAGGAGCAGCCCCCCCACCCCCGGCCCCCCCAGAGTCAGCACCGACCCCCAGCAATAAAACCCCCCCTGCAGCCACCGCCTGTCCTGCCTCTGCCTGCTGGGGACACTGGGGACACTGGGGACAGTGGTTGGGGGGAATGGGAGTGCTGGGGACACGGGGGGTGTTACAGACGCTGAGTCTGGGGACCGTGGTGATGCTGGGGACAGAGTGGGGTGCTGGTGGCTCTGGGGGTGCTGGGGACACGGGACACTGGGGGCACTGAGGGTGGCGGGGACAGCGAGTGGCTGTGCTGGGGACACCGAGGGTGCTGTGACTGGGGAAACTGGGGACAGCGAGTGGCTGTGCTGGGGACATCGAGTGGCTGTGCTGGCGACACTGGGGGTGCTGGCATTGTGGACACGCCTACGCGGCCGTCCCCGTCCCTGTCGCTGTCGCTGTCCCCGTCCGGTCGGTGCCAGTCGCGCGTGTCCCGCCGCTCCGCCGCGATGCCGGCGGCCGCCCCCGCCTCGGTCACGGGTGAGCGCGCACCGGGGGTCGCTCCGGCTGTGCTGGGGACACTGGGGGTGCTGTGACTGGGGAAACTGGGGACACCGAGTGGCTGTGCTGGGGACACTGGGGGTGCTGGCATTGTGGACACGCCTACGCGGCCGTCCCCGTCCCTGTCGCTGTCGCTGTCCCCGTCCGGTCGGTGCCAGTCGCGCGTGTCCCGCCGCTCCGCCGCGATGCCGGCGGCCGCCCCCGCCTCGGTCACGGGTGAGCGCGCACCGGGGGTCGCTCCCGGGGGGGGGTGGGCGCCCGGGTGCGC